TAAGACTCTAAGTCAAATAAAGGACATTGGGCTACCCCCTGCCAAGCAACACTCCAACAGTTGCTGCACTGTATCATTATTTCAGTCAAGGTTCTTGATAGGCCTTGAGGAAGACCTAAAGGTACGCAAGAATCTTTGGGAGATTGGTCCTGAGTCGAACTAATTATATATCTAATTTGGGCAACGGCAAGTTTGCTGCACCAGACAGTGTACTGAAAAATGGTTTCTGGAAGACGATGTTCGTATTTAGAGTGGCACCAGTTGTGATGTGGGCTCATTCTGGTCGTCTCTATCGGGGGTTGCTGTCGAGTGCGTGAGGCTGTCGAACGCTACCCCGGCGACCTTCGACTCGCTGAAGAAAGCACCTCAGCCGCAAGAGTGAGCCTTCGCCAGCTTGGGCATGGAGCCCGGATCAAGTGATATCAAGTGCCTTGCTGCCAGATTGCCACTGCATTGTGCCGAGCTTGGCTATTGAAAGATATTGAAAGCATTTGACAGCCGAGCAGTCACTTGGTGTTCAACCTCAAGGCAGTCCTGTTGGTGCCCCCGATGCTGGAAGCCGGCCTTTTTGTCAGCTTGTTGGAATCCAAAAGACTCTCAACAACCCACAACAACCCTCAACTGTTTGGATGATCGCCGCGCCCTTGGTTTGCATGACTGGCGGCAAATGACCCGTAGAACCCCTAGTTAGAAGATGTTTCAAGCAATATGTATGTGGAATGCCGATGATAAAGACTGCCCAGAGTGGCCCTTATGACCAGTTGCCTTGTTCTTCAGGATCTTGCAAACCGAAATCACTCAGTTTTTCTCAAACAGAAACACACACACATATATATATAATTATATATATACATATGCATATAGACTGCACAACACACTGAACACATCACCATCTCATACCATCCCTCTTGCTCACATCCCTCCCATGTTCTCAGCTAGACCCTTTCAGACGGGCCTTGGAAACCAATAATACCTCCAGATGGTGTTCCGTGAAACCCAACGAAGTGGCGGATCCGATCCGCACGACTCTCCATTCGGTGGGGCGACGCCCAGGAGCTGGAAGAGGCGGGCGGGAAGTGACGCATGGTGGACAGGGTGGGGGAACAGACGCACATGTGGTGTAGGGATTACAGGGATTGTGAAAGGGCGTGTGTGTGTGTGTGTGCATTTTGGTGGTGTAGGGATTTGTGTATGAAAATCTGGTGCAGCCTTATATAGGACTGTTCGGCTCGATGAGGGTTGATGATTTGTCATTCTTTTTGAGAAGGATTTGTCATTCAATTCCTTCAAAGCTGCAAGCTTGCAGGGTCCAGGGACTTTGCGACAGGTTGTGCTTTCCGACCGCCCCGTCTTTTTGAACAAAGAAGCCATTCCACGACGGCTGGAAGATTCCATTTCCCAACTCCTTTTCAGCTCTAAAAAGAGGGGATCCCAATTCTTAACGGTCTTAACGCAAAAGATGTACACATATCTACACTACATACAGCTTGAGGCCGAACCGGGGCAGTGTTTTTCGGAGGTCAAACCGGGGCGAAAGAATTACCTCCGGGCGCGCAGGTCTTAGAAGAAGATCTGCCACACACTGGGGACCAGCAGCCGGTGCTGAAGGCCTGGGCTTTGCTTGGTGGGTGGAGCCATAGGCCAGCAGAGGGCTGCAGTTTTGTGGAGGGACGCTGCAACCATTGAAAATAGCTCGTTCGATTGCCGGGAAGGATGGCAATGTCGGTAGCATTGGAAAACGCACTAAAAGAAGGTAAGCCATAGAAGTGCAAGACCATGAAAGACCACCAGCACAGTATATCAAGGAATTCATTTCGGGCCACCTTAAAATTCCTGAAGACTCAAACACTACCTTGAATACTCTTAGACTCCCAGGGTGCGGCTGAAATCCTTCATGCTCATTCGTTCAACAAGCGCACCCTCGTGCGCCAATTTGTTCACCCCATTATGCACTCTCTTGGCGTTTTGGGACATCCTTCCGGCCCTCCGGCCTTTCGTTTTTCTTGTTGTTTCGGTGCCACTCGGATACGGAAACATTTGGAAAGGTTTCTGAACAAAGCAAGCTTAGCTTGATGAAACCCCAGATTTTACACACTCTTTGAGCGCCTCGTGACCAGGGTGACCACCGAGTGGACCCACAGGGCGGCCGACGTTCATGTGGCCACCGTTACTACCGTTACTTGAGATGAACCCACAGGTCCTAAGAGGTTTTCAAGTGAGTTTAAACCGCCAACCAGAAGATGGAACGTGCAGAAACAAAACAGAACAATAGATGTGTGTTTTCTTGTGTCCAACTCTGAGGCCGAAGCAGATCGCGTCCTCGAGTATGCCAAGCTTTATGTGGCTGAGGCCAGACTTGGGATCTGTTCAAGAAGGTCGTAAGGGAAGGGGGAAATCATCAAGTGAGGATGGTGAAACTCTTTCAAACCATGAACTCTTCAGCCAAGAAGGATGATTTCAGCCCAATGCCGCCAAGTGCCAGCGGGACACCTTTGCAACATGTTACATCTCAGCTCAGCTGCGAACTTCATCCAAGTGGGGACGTGAGTGGAGATCAAGTCAGATCAAGGTAGCAGTATCAGGATCTGTCAGAGTATCATGATGATGCACTTTTGTTCACCAAGCGGTTCCCCACCCTCAATCCACCTTACCTTTGTCGGCAGCCTTGACCCATCCTGATCCGAAGCTTCAACCGATGTTGTACAAACCGGAGATGTGAAGGTAGCCAAACCACGGGGTGTAGCCGTTTTCAGACCACAAGGGAAAACCAGCGAAGTTTGTCAAGCCTCACGCCTTCACACCTTCACCGCTCCTGAGGTCACCGGCAAGAAACCCGTTTCCTGATGCCCCGTTCTCCGCAGAGACGAGTGTTGCGGCCATCGACCCTGACCAGGGCCAAAATATCTAAAGTGACGGGGTCATTGGAGATCAGTTTACAATTGTTTGCAGCTTAGGTGTTTAGGCATCGATGTAGACCACAAGCGTGATACTGCAACTGGCTTGAAGAACAAAACAGTATATATCTATTATATGTATGAGTTAGAGATAGTTGGAGAGACCTTGCCTAGCCCAACTACCATTTCTGGTTTCGATCCACATTATTGCGCAAGATCACACAACGTCAACCAATGTGCAGTGAATGTACCGCAAGGCCTAGACAAAGTGCCACAAAAGTATAGTATAGTTTTCATTCATGTGTTCAAGGGTTAAGTGATGTTAAGTGCCTTTCGGCATTCGTGAAAAAGGCCAAGAACTTGGCGCAAGCAACGAAGAAGCGGTTCTTCCAAACACCCAAACGCACGGATTCCAATCCTTTGAACAGGCGCCGGGCCTCCCCACGCCCACACGGCCTTCGTGTTTGGTCGGCGACCCGGACCCTCGGGCGACCCTCGGGACTTCGGCCACTCGTGGAATGAACCGCAGGAACCTCCTTCCAGGTTTTCCTGCTTTCTCAGCCAGCATGGCATCACCAGATTGGGATCTTTGGTGCATCTTCCGAGACGGTGAGAAAAGAACACAGCCACAAAAATAAACAAAGCTGCAGCCTTCCTGGAGGCTGGCAGTTCCAGATTCAATCCACGCAAACGGCCTGGCAGTTTGACGTAGTGATATGAGGAGCTACAAACGCTGCTGAGCGCGGCAAGGAATTGTGCGGGGAGGCAATTGGAAGAACATGCATGCCAAGAAATTGCAGCTAATGACAAAGCAATATATATCCGAATGTTGCAATGTCAGCGGCTCGCTATGCTGCTTGGGAAGGATTACAAGGTATGTGAGTGTTACTATACAGTCAGTTCGTGTGTAGAACCATTTGCAATATCGGGTTGGTAGTCATGTTCAAACAATCCATGCACACACTTTATATATATATAATATTATATAATTACACTTAAAGTGAGACTGAGCAAGCATCAGCGATACCATCCTTGTTGCTTAGACTACTCGTTTACCAACGCAATACCAGAAAACATACTATTAATTAGTTGTTAATTGAACATACAACTTGCAGAAGGAGTAGAAGAGGTACTGGGGGATCCTTCTATGCCAATACCTGAACGAATTACTTTGCATGTCTTAGAAGGGCCCAACCTTGTAGGTTGGCTGTATGCTGACCCAAAACGCATGTTCGGCAAAATCGGCACTTGTTTCTTCGGCAAAGAATTGCATATGCATGTATAAACACATATCAATGTATAACAGCCCTTTGTCATGCATACCCAAGAAGTGCTCACGCGCAAAAAAAGCGGCCGCAACTGGTCACATGGTCGCCTCCAAGATCTACGCCGCGCATCGAGTTTTGTGGCAGTTGGATCTGCTGGAAGGGGCAGGGTCCGAGAAAGACGACGGGGCGCGTGGATCGTGGATAGGAAAAACAACCGACCGAGGGAGGAGAACGACCTGCGCGCGCGTCCGCGCACGGAGCTCGTGGCATGTTTGGGACCATGGTTTGTTTGGGAAGGTGTAGAGCTGAACACATACAGAGTGTTTGTTACAACATATTGCAACTGCTAAGAGTAGGACATTGCCTTGTGGCAGTTGGTTGAGGCCCCTCCTTCAAGCTTTCGGCCTTTTAGGGCCCCCTGCATGAAGTCCTTGGGCCAAACCGAGCTCCCTGGGCTATGTGACTTAAATGACCTGACCTACGTTTGGGTGGGATTGTTTGTTCTTCATGAGTCTGGACCATTGGTGAACCATGAGTCGCTGGCTCGGCGGGCGAAACTTTCAGGCGCACGAATGACCACAACTTGGGAGCTTTGACGGGACACCAAGGGAGTACCAAGCCCCAAAGCCCCACACGACAAAGCGGCATCCAGCGACAGACTTCCTCACCTTTTGACGAGCACCTGAACTAAAGAATGCCACAGAGAAACAACCTATAAAATAAGTTCATGCAAGGGTGCGGTGCGGTGTATGCGCTTCAATCAAGGACGTTGGGTCACCCAAATGACTAGATCCCAGTACCAAGTCAGCAAGCAGGCTCTTAAACTGTTGATCGCCCAGTTGGTCACTGGCCCATTTCTTGCCGGGCGAAGAGACCACGGCCAGCCACCCGCTATGTTGGAGCGGCACTTGCCGCCGCCGCCCAGCTGGCCCTTGCTACACAGCAAGTTTGGAGCGTTGAAGATGCTTGGCAGCGAGAACTGCGGGGGGCGGGGTGACCCCATCGTGCTTCGGGCGGGGTGACGTTGAAGCTTCCGGACTCCTGCAGTGACTGGAGAGAATGTGAGCCTGTTCAGGTTGGCCATGTGAATCTTCGGAGGTTCGCGGCGGTTTTTAAAGTTCAATTGGATGTTTTGCCCTGGCGATGCGGGAAGATACTTCTTGCAGACTGGTGGGCTTGCTGGTTTACACCATCCCCCATGCGACACAAAATATATGTAGCAATCCAGCTGAAGCACAGTTGAATAATCTTTGCATGGACATTTGGTCCAGAGAAGGCTCGAAGATGATCCCAAGCAAAATGCTTTGTTCTGGTGATGCATTTGCATGTCAACTCACTTTTGTTTCGCTTCGTCGCGTTCGCGGTGTGTTTCAAGGAATGGAGTACCAAAGTATGTACCTCAAGACGCTCTCATCGAGGCCTGCAGGGCCAAAGAATCGGTGACACAACATGACACAACTATATATATATATTTATATATCCATTTCACCATGAAACAGCAAATTTGGGAACCATATCCCAGACACGACCTGTCTGGGACTGCCAGGACGGACCGGCCGACCCCTGGTCGGCCGGTCAACCATCCCCTCTCCTCGACCGCCGCCTGCGGCAGGCGTTCGAGACGGCGCAGGCGGAGACCACCGCACGGATCCGCGCTGGGCTGAGCCTACCAGCGTCTCCGGAGGGGAAGTCGACCACCTCCAGGCGATGGGCTTTTGGGGATTTCTGAGTTGGGATGGTACACGGACGCGTGAGCTGATGCAGCTTGATAGATACAGATGGATGAGACACATACCCATGAGCTGTGGGCCAGTGGGGTTCACTGATTTCAAGCCCTCGCCGTGCCAGCTGCGGCTGCCGCCAGGTCCTGGCCTCACCGGCGCCATGGCAGCGAGCCACCGCCCTCGCCGTCCAGACGACAGCGGCTGCTGGGGCTGGAGCTCCCACAGCCGCCCCTCCCACCCGTGGCTGGCGAGCTAAAGGTACCGAGCACGGTCGGCGCATTTCGTGCCATGGCCCGTGCGTGGCGAGGGCAAGCGAAGACACGTTGCCAGGTGACCCTGAGATAAGGTTATTTAATGTCAATCTGTTAAATGTAAATGTGAACATTCCCATGCCGCAGGGTGAAATCACTCCTGCTATGGATTGAAATGGGGAGTTTGAACAGAAACAACGTAGATATGCCGTACTCTACTCGGCTACACAGTTGTTGAAGAGGGGTTCAATTGGAGTTATTCTTCCACCTAGCATCACCTAGCAACAGTCACTTGTGAAGGGTTAAGTTAAGTGCAGTGCAGGAGCCTTTTCTATATAATGTTGAGCTGTCACTGGGTGGCTTTAATACAGCGCCGTGTCATAATATATATATATATTTATTAAATATATTTATCCGGTACCTGGGATTTAGGCACAAAGCGATAGTGGATGTGTCGGGAATATGAGCCTATGCAACATAAGTATGTACAGTAGATCACACGATCTAAGTAACCTTGAACAGGGCTGTATCTTGCAGCCCCTTCTGACCAAGTAAAAGGTGCGAGTCCGGGCGCTGAGTTGCGCCGTTTCATGGTAGCGCAGCCTGGTTTCCAAGGGGAAGCGGTTAGCCCCGCTACCCTGCTGGCGCGGGTAGCCCCGCCCAGCAAAACGGCTCCCAAGCCGAAGAAGGGAGCCAAGAAGAAGGACAAAGGGGGCAGGAGATCTGCCTACAGAACCCTAGCTCGAGAAGCTAGGGGCCAAGCCCGGCGAGAAGCCGGCACAACAGAAGAAAGAAAGAAGCTATAGGAACCCAGGTTGTGGAGCCCCGGCCACTTCCGTCTGGACAGGGGGCACATCGAGCTTTCATAGTTCGAGACAAGACTCCGAGCCCAATTCGATTGGTTCCAGCTCGAAAGGAGCTAAGACATCCTCATCCAGGTTCTCGTGGAAGAGCCAAGGAGAAAAACAGAAAGAGAAGAGCGAAGAGAAGCGAGAGGGATCGTTCTCGCCGTCGAGCACCTGAACCTCGTGCACTTCGCCTTCGTTCCGCTTCACCCGTGCATCAGCGATTCACACTGCGATTCACTCAGCTGTATCATCAGAGAGCTGAAGCAAAGGCCATCCAAGACAAAGTTCACAAGAACTGGAAGAACCTGAGGTTTGCCGACAGAGTTGCTGTGAGACGGGTCTTGAGGAAGCATTTCCCTCACGGAAGTGTCAAGGACGCCTTTGACACCTTACTAGCTGACTGCTTCAGCTGTGAGGAGAGATCTCGACTGAATCGTCCAAGGGCCGCTCAGTTTGCAGCAGCTCGTTGCAGCTCGTTTGACTCGAAAGAACCGAGAAGAGGCGCAAAGAGCAAAGGCCTACGAAGCCGACGCGGAGGAGAAAGCCGAGTCAAAGGACAAACGGCCGCGCAAGAGGCCATTTCCAAACATAGATCTTGTTTCAGAAGTAGATTACGGTGGCGACGACGATGATGACAACGAATCCTCAGGAAACGACCCCAGACTTGGAGCAATCAAGGGACCCCATGGCCCAGATGATGGCGGCAGTGGAGCGGCTGTCACGGCAAGTTCAGCTGCAACAGATGCAGCTAGAACAGATGTGCGCGTTGAGCCTGAACGCAGGGTTTCAGACATATCAGGTATGGTTCTAACAGCTGCTTTGCACAGACCTTTTCAAGAATCTAGCAGTAGTAGTGGGGGGTTTGGTTTGGTTGACACGAGACAGTTGGGAAAACCGGAGACCTTAAGGGAGATGCGAGTGAGTATGCCGATTTTTCGTTTGTGTTCAAAGCGTATATGGCTTGTGTGGACTCCCGTTTCATTGAGATTGTTGAACGTATTGAATCAACTAGAGTTCCATGCCCGAATCGCCTTCTCAGCGGGCAAGAGAGGCAGCTTTCATCACAGTTGTATTACATGTTAGTGATGTTAGTCAAGGGCAGGGCACTCGATGTGGCACAAAACAGTGGAAAGGGAGAGGGCTTTGAGGCCTTCCGCAAACTCGAAGAGCTGTACCAACCCAAGTTGGCATCAAGGTTTGTTGGCAGTTTGAGTTTGATTCTCAACACACGTTTTTCATCCACGGATGTGGAGGCAGAACTAGAGTTGTTTGAAAAGACGATCAGGCGATATGAGAGCGAAACTGGCAAAGCCTTGGATGACCAGATTTTCCTCGGTGTGGTCATCAACGGTCTCCAACACAATTCAGTTTGAGACCACATCATTAGAAACACAAATCGCTTGACGAGCTTTCAGCCGGTAAGAGATGAGCTGTTGGAGATAGCTCGTACTAGCCGTGTGTTAAGCCAAATGCCTAGCCCCATGGACATTGGCGCATTGCCCCAAAGAGGCAAGGGGAAGACTGACAAAGGCAAGGAAAAGGAAGTAAGGGTCAAGATGACAAAGGCAAAGGCAAGACCAAAGGCACCTCCAGCAATACAGCTCTTAGCAAAGAGAAGACGTGTTTCTATTGCAGCAAGCCTGGCCACATCAAGGCCGAATGCCGCAAGAAACAAGCAGACGACAGAGCCAAAGGTAGCAAAGGCTCCAAAGGTGGAAAAGGTAAGAACGCAGCAACGCCAGAGCAAGAACCCCAGAGTGAACCACTGTCCTCTTGTTGCAGCTATTGCTAGCCCCTTGAAGCGCGTGCTGGTTGACACTGGAGCCGGTTCCCATTTGTTTCAAAGTGGGTTGGACCCCCAAGCTGTTGAGAGCGTAAATGATTCATCCAAGAGCTTAGTTACTGTCACGGGTGAACCGCTCACATCTGGAATCAGAAAGAAAAGCGTCATTGAATGTTGTGGTAAAACGTTCAATGTTGAATACGCTGAGTCAGATAAGCTTCAGTTTAGTGTCCTTTCATCCGGTAAAATGGCAGAAAAGGGGGTGTGGACCATTGTTGGTCCCGGTATGCAGTGTGTTGCTCAGTCCAGGTTCACTCCCATTATTCAAGACTGTTTGAGCCACATTGAAACGATTCCCTTAACCAAGAGCAGGGGAGTGTTCTGGTTGCCACTGGAGACCAAGCAATCACCAGCGGGTAGCCCCGCGGACATCCTTGGCGGTGTCAAGGCAGTGGCAAAGAGCGTGCCTGCCAACATTTACGATGAGGTTGGGGAGCCTGGGCATCAGGAGGAGGGAGTTTCTGCAGCTTCTAGTCATCCTAGTGGTCCTAGTGCTTCAACAGATGCTCAACCCCAGACTGGTCACGTTGAACCCCCAAAGTTGCCGGAGTTGCAAGAGCCTCCAAGTGAAGCTTCAAGTGAAGGGAGAAAGCCGAAGGCCAAGAAGATTCCTGATACTGTTTCAAAGGAGGAATATGACGCACACATGCTCACACACATTCCTTTGAGAAACTGGTGCGAGCATTGCATGCGTGGCAAAGTCCGTGAGGACGACCACCGCGGGAGACAAGCAGAAAGCGACCCGAATGAAGTTCCGCGTGTAAGTTTGGATTACTGTTTCCTGGGTCGTGTTGTGATGAAAAACCAAAACACCGAGTTGAATGTTTCTGAACTCACGTCTAAATCACCAGATGATGAAAACTTGCTGCCTGTTCTTGTCATTGTTGACGAGAAAACTGGTTGTGTCTTTTCTGGTGTGGTTGCTAAAGGTGTGAATGCTTATGCAAACAATTTGGTGGTTGAAGGCTTAAAGTTTTGTGGTGGGCAAAGAGATGCTGAGCCCAGCATCAAGGCATTGGCAGAAGCTGCCAGCAAGGAATGGGGTGGAGAGTGCCAGTTGATGACAGCGCCTAGAGCTTCCAACGGTGCGTGTGAGCGAGCCATCCTTGAGCTGGCTCGTCAAGCTCGGACCTTGGTGAGCAGTTTGGAAGAGCGATTTCCTGGTTTTAAGTTGAACCCCAAAGACAAACACTACCCGTGGCTGATACGCCAAGCTTCATGGCTTCTGACCAGATACCTGGTGAAGGCCGACGGCAAACGCCGTATGAGCGATTGAGAGGGCGGACCTACAAAGGTTCAATCATTGAGCCCTTTGAGAGTTGTCACTACAAAGTCGCAGATGCGGAAAAGGGGAAACTTGATGCACAGACAAACACGGGCATCTGGTTGGGTAAGAGTTTGCAATCAGACGAACATTTGGTTGCAACTGAGCACGGCATCAGGCGATGCCGGACGATCTGGAGGAAGCCAGAGAGATTAAGATGGAACCTGAAAGGTTTCCAGAGTTGGGTTGGCCTTCCTTGGCAACCTCGTGGTCCACCCACACCAACTCCAGAAGCAATCCGCTCAGGAGTCACTAACCCTGGCACTCCAGTGCCAGGAACACCAGGTGTAAAGAAAGGCGTGTACATCACGGTAGGGCAACAGCTGAAGCATGGCATGACGCCAGGATGCCAGAGTTCAGATGAACATCCCAAGAGGCACCATGCTGAGTGCCGTGCGCGATTTGAGAAGTTGATCAGTGAGGAGCGCTTGAAGCTCGAGTCCGCGGAGGTCTTGGACGTAGAGATGGGTGCGGGTACCTCCGCTTCATCTCGGCCATCTGTGGGTAACACCGCGGTGGCAGAGCTGCCAGCGGGAAACACCGCGGCAGTTGGAGAGTTGCCAGCGGGAACCACCGCGGCGACGGGAAAGTTATCTGCGGGGCACACCGCGATGACAAGTCCGTCAGCGGGGAACACCGCGACGGCTGATGGATCGGTCGCGGGCCGCCCCGCACCGGTTGAAGGCCCACTAGAAGGTACATCCATGGGCAGTGAAGCAAAGAGACTGAAGAAAGATCAGTCGTCTGGAAGCAAGCGACCAGCTGAAACATCGCTGGATGATCTCCCTGCAGAGATCGAAAGGCGCTCAGTGGCAGCGCTACTTGCCATGAAGCTCCACAAGAAGAAGTGGATTACAACGATCGTCCAACACTTCATGAGGTCCCCTTGGCTGCTTATCCTGAATGGGCAGAAGTGGGACAGGTACTTGACGAAAGGAGCGGTGAAGTTCTTGAACCGGACAAGGTCAAGAAGGCTCGGGGAAGAGAATTGG